GATAAAAATACCATTATTGAGGAAACTGCATAAATAGCAAAGGAATTTAATGAGTATTTTGTGAATATCGGTAGTAACTTAGCAAAACAAATTCCTGATCCAATAAATTCTTTTGAAATAGATAAATATATAGAAAAAAAATTCTTCCACAATGTTTCTTACTCCTGTGAATCATAATGAAATATTAAATATTGTAAAAACATATACAAGTAAAAAGTCAACTGACTGTTTTAATATTGATATGACAATAGTAAAACAGATTATAGAATTTGTAGTGCGACCTCTTACATACATATGCAACCTGTCATTCAAAGCCGGTGTTTTTCCATCAAAAATGAAAACAGCTAAAGTCATCCCAATTTTTAAAAGTGGAGAAAGACAATTCTTTACAAATTATAGACCAATATCACTGCTCCCACAATTCTCAAAAATATTAGAAAAACTATTTTCTCGTAGAATTGATAACTTCATAAGTAAGCACGTGCTATTAAGTGAAAATCAATACGGCTTCAGAGAAAAGCGGACCACCTCAATGGCAGTAATGGAGTTTGTGGAAGCAATAGCTAAGAATATAGACAATAAAGAATTTACTGTTGGGATTTTTCTCGATCTAAAAAAAGCTTTTGATACAATAGATCATACTATATTATTGAATAAATTAGAGAGATATGGTATCAGAGGCATAGCACATAAATGGATTGAAAGTTATTTAGAAAACAGACATCAGTTTGTACAGTTCAAAAACAAAAAATCCAACTTACTGAAGATTACCCATGGAGTTACTCAGGGATCAGTGCTTGGACCAAAACTATTCATTTTATACATAAATGATATCTGTAGTGTTTCAAAACAATTCAAATGTGTCCTATTCGCCGATGATACAACCTTTTACTGCTCTGGAGAAAATATGAAACAACTCCTGAAAACTGTGGAAAATGAATTAAACAAATTAAAAAACTGGTTCGACAGAAATAAACTATCTTTAAATTTAACAAAAACTAAGTTAGTTGTTTTCGGCACGAGACCAATCAAAGATCAAGTTAAAATAAGGATAAATTCAATTGAAATAGAACGAGTTTGTGAAAATAAGTTTCTTGGACTAGTAATAGATACTAAACTATCCTGGAAGCCACATATTGATAACGTTAAAAGAAAAATATCCAAAACTATTGGGATACTCCACAAAACTAAGGATGTGTTGGATAAGAGTTCTTTGTACACACTATATTACTCATTATTACTCCCATATATGACCTACTGTGTGGAAATATGGGGGAACGCCTGTAAATCAAACACACTCCCTGTCTTAAAACTACAAAAAAAGCAATCAGAATAATCAATAGGTCCAAATATATAGAACCCACAAATCCGCTATTCATCAAATTAAATACAATGAAATTCTATGACCTGGTTGACTTCAAAATCGCCCAATTAATGTATAAAGCACATCACAATCTCCTTTGCCAAAATATCCAGAAGCAGTTTGAAATTAGAGATAGTTGTTATAATCTAAGAGGTATCAATCAAAATAAAAAAATCCAGAACGAGAACAAACATCAAGCAAAGGTGTGTATCAGTAATAGGAGTCAAACTGTGGAATAAGCTTGAAACTGATCTGAAAATGAGTAAATCGCTGGACGAGTTCAAAAACAAATTTAAAAGATTAGTACAAGCAAACTACAAAAATCAAAGTTAAGAAGATAAATTCGATATACTTATAAAATATAGTAATATAACGGTCTGTTCTTGTTTTGGATTTTGATCAACTCATTAAATGTATTCAAGAAATGCAGTATTTATAATGAATATGAGACAATTGATATAAAAAGGAGAATGAATAATTATATGTATATACATGTATATATGTAAGTGGGTGTATATGTATATGTGTGTGTATATATGTGTATATGTATGTATGTATGTATGTATATGTATATGTGTATGTGTATGTGTGTATATATGTATGTATGTATATATATATATGTATATATATATATATGTATGTATATATATATGTATATATATATATATACACATATATGTATATATGTATGTATGTATGTATATATATGTCATGTGACGTCATACTGCATGTGGTTCAACCTCCGCACACATCCCAGTACTGTACAATAAATCTCTTAAAGTGGGTTTCTTTTATTTCATACTTTCATTTTTAATTGGCTGAATGTCCGAGTTTCATAGCCATATTGAACATTTTGCACGTGCCCCTGAAATGTCTGTCTACTTTGTCTCTATGGGGCAAGTAACTGGCCCTTTGAGAAACCCTCTTTATGTGTTCCGTCACATTACTAAGCAGCATTTTGTCCTTGTTAATAGAATCATTGAAGGACAATCACGTGCTTGTTAAATGCTAACATTAGCCAGAAAAGTGTCATGTTATCAGATTATAGGGTGCATGAAAGGGTTAATTAGATTTTTTTTTTTTAAACGGGTGTGAGCCAATATAATATACTGTACAACAATAATTCCAAGTTGCCCAAAGTAGTTCAACGCTTTCCAGCTGCTCATAAGAATGTGACAAAATATAGTTTTTGATGCAGTGCTAGTGATGCATAGTATAAGGGCAGTCAATGTGAAATGTACACTGGGAAATGTATCTATTTCTTTTTCCATCGTTATTTATTTATTTATTTAACAAAAAAAAAACATTAATCTTCCATTTCCTCTGATGTGCTTTGGCCTGGTGCAACTAGGATGAAAATTCCAGCAATTTCAAATAAGGTAAGAGTGACGTGGGCCAGTCGGGTGTTTTGATATGACACTGACACGGTTGCATACACCAATTAGACACAACAAAAATGACCTCCTGCAGAATATCCTGACATCTGTGTTACCATATTGGCCCGAATATAAGACGGCCCTGATTCTAAGACGACCCCCTCTTTTTCAAGACTCAAGTTTGAAAAAAGACTTTTTGAACACCAAATTAATTTTTATACAGAAAATAATTACAGTAGATCTGAAACAAATGATTATAACAATATATTTGAGAGAAAAAGCATGTTATTTTGCCTCATTCAAATCTAAAGTGCAATCACATTCGTAAATGAATGGCTTCTGGTTTTTGAAATGTAAATTACATCATAACTTCTCCTCAGCTGCCAGTTAACCTGGCCGATCTTCGACCCACTTTTCTCCAGATTGTCGCTACGTTTCTCCATTTTCTATTATCTCTTCTATTATTTTCTTCTCTTTTCCTTCTTACCGCTATTTTTTATTTTTATTCTTCGTGGCAGGGGTTCACTTTGGCCTGGGGAGTCAAGTTCAGATTCGCTTCATTGATATGTGGCGCCATCTAGTGTCGTGAATGGGTATAATGTCTTGACCCCGAATATAAGACGACCCCCCCTTTTTTAGTCTTATTTCAATGCAAAAAACACCGTCTTATATTCGGGCCAATATGGTATATGTGTTGTAGATGAATATAATCATAGTTTTCAGTATACTGTACAATAGGTTAACTATACATAGAAATTACTTTCTAGTGGCGTAGAACTCTACCGCATCAAACAGAGCCATCGCTGTTTTTTTGTTTTAATTTTTTGTAGCTAAGTGAGACAACCACACTATCAGGCGCAAATGACATTATGATTCACTCGAGCATTATTACCTTATAAAGGGAATATTTGTGATACAGCTTTTTTAATATATTGTTATCCATGTGTCACATACACACAGTAAAGCACTGCATCGATGAGGTCACAATAATAAGGTCAATATTAGACTCATAACA